GGAGTCGGGCACCCCCAGGCGCAAGGCGGTGCAGGCCATGGGGCCGCGGGCATCGGCGGGGCAGGCGGAGGCCCAGCAGCTGCAGGAGCTGAGGAACCGGACGGAGAGGGCGGAACGGAGGCTGTTGGCCTGCGAGAACCTGGTCGGGGAGCTGGGCAGCAACCTGGCTGCCCTGGGCAGCCTCCTGCAGGAGTACGGGCAGCTGCAGCAGCGGCTGGAGAACGTGGAGAACCTGCTGAAGAACAGGAACTTCTGGATCCTGCGGCTGCCCCCCGGCTCCCGGGGAGAGGTCCCCAAGGTAAGGGCCTCCGGCCTGGCCCCTGGAAGCGCCAGCACTGTGGAGGGGGGGGTTAGGAAATGCCAGAGCCATCTTAGCGGTGAGCTCGGGCAGCTGAGCAGCTGCGAGTCCTGGACTTGCCGCTCGCAAGCCCTGACTGGGCAGGCACGCTTTGGTCTGTGCCTGCCCTGAGCTCCGGCAACCAAAGCCAAGCGCTCAGTTGAACGTGTGTGGTTTCCAGTTATCTAACCGCATCAGAAGTCACCAAGCGCCTAATACTTGTGATTCCAGGTACCGCTTACATTCGATGATGTTTCAGTGTACTTCAACGAGCAGGAGTGGGAGAGACTGGACCGCTGGCAGAAGGATCTGTACAGGGCTGTGATGAGGGGGAACTACGAGATGCTGATTTCCCTGGGTAAGGCACAGAGTCTGCACCTCCAGATGAGCTTCTCTCGTGGGTAGGCTGGACTGCTTCCCACCACAGCCTGACTGATGGTCTGGTTTGGTGGGGCTGGACACCTGTAGCTAGCAGAACCTCTCTTGGGCAGTCAGACCCATGCATTTTCCCTCCCTCCCCCTTGTCAAGTGATAACAATGTAACAGATGCCTGTAGTAAGTAATAGTAGCAACAGCAACACAAGCAATATTGATTATAAAAAATATCCACGTGAGATGCTGTTTCTAATGGCTGTGTAAGTGGATTCCAGGGTTAGGGAACCATCATGATCTTCCAGCTCAGTTCAGGAATTATCTGGGTGAGGTCTCATAACTGCACCTTGAACAAGTTCGTTTTCTCTCTATTTAGCCCCTATGTAAAGTGACAGGGACATTTCCGTCTGCCTTGGTAAAGAGCTAACCTAATCATGCTCAGTCTTTCTAAGGGCACCCAACATGTTTTTGGATGATTTGGGCTGTAAGATACTCCCCGTCAAAAGCTGTTTCTTGGGCATGACTAGTAATGTGTCGCTCTGTGCAGCTACTGAAGTTGAGGCTTCGCTTTTCTCAATAATATTCTGCAGAAACAGAACAAACCTGTTCCTCTCATGGTCCATCTAATGCAGACATCTCTACAGAGCAGGAAGGTTTCTGTCCCTACACCAGAACAATAGCTCAGAAGAACTGCTCTTTAAGTCACTGTTAAAGTTGAAATGGGAGGAAAATGTTAAAGATAAAGCCTTGCCCTCTCCTTTAAGATTTTAGTCCATGTTCTGTTACTTAGATCTTCTCTGTACTTGAGCTACAGCTGTGCTCATGGGTGGATCCTGCCAAAGGGCCAAGAAAGCAGCACCACCTTTATCGTTAGACCATGGATAATTTATTTGTGTCTGTCTGTGCTGTCTGCTAGCTCTGGGATTACGGAGAGAAGGGTCACCTGAAAACATTTGAGAGTTCGGCAGAATGAAGGTGCAGCCAGTTCCTAATAAAACACGCTGTCCTCTGCTCCTCTGCCCCGTGAGCAGACTATGCTGTGTCCAAGCCTGACATCCTCTCCCGGATCGAGAGGGATGAAGAGCTTTGTGTCAAAGATGGTCAGAAGCCCCCGCTGACACGTATTGGAGACAGTCAGGAGCCCCTGCAAGCACCAGAAAAGGTGGACCGGGTGGAAGAGGCTTTGGGAGAAGAGGAAGTTCCCATGGAAGCTGACAGAGGTAAATTACATGGGTGCCAGGAGGAGGTAGCAATTCCTGTCTCAGCTTTGTCAGGAGATCTCCCAGAGGTGTCTGTGTTAGAAATGAACTGCTCTGAGGGTCTGTTGACTGTATTGACTAAACCTCCATGGAGTACCTTGAATCTTTCTTCCATGAGGAACATTTACGCTTAGTCAGATGAATCCTGTGGAGAAAAACAAGGCCTGTCAGGAGGGGCTGGGATGGAGTCTAGAGTGGTGGGATAGACCTCTTGTGATCCTTTCCAGTCCTGTTTCTGTGCAGTTTGGCAATCCTTCTTCACCTCATTGTGTGCATGAGCCCTGGGGCTTCCAAAGACACTCCTGGTTGCCTTGCTGAGAGAGGAGACATGGTGGGAAGTGAGGAACCTGGGAACATGCAGTGGGAGGAGGAGGCTGGAGCCACTCTGCTAGTGCTGGGAGGAGCAGAAGTGGTCAGGAGACCCTTGGGACATAGCATGGGAGAGTTGGAAAAAATCAATTAAGAGTGCGAAGGCTGGGCAAGAAGATAGGAGACACTGGAAAGGGACAGGCAGACCCCAACAGAAGAAGAAATGTGTGGGCAGAGCTGTGATCGGGAGCACTTTCCTGCAGGACTGAGGAGGGTCTAATGGGGGTTAAAGAAGCCCCACGAAAGGCCAGGTGGGCACTGGCGGGGGCCAGAGGGCAGGGCAGCCTCTGTCCTTTGGGGAATGTTACTCAGAAATGACACGAGCCCCAGGTGTGTGTTTGGGGGTTGGTTTGTCAAGTGCTTCTGGGAAGAGAGGAAAAACATACCACATAGAGAGAGGCTGTCCCTCTCCTTTGAGATTTTAGTCCATGTTCTGTTACTTAGATCTTCTCTGTACTTGAGATACAACTGTGCTTATGGGCGGATCCTCCCACAGGGCCAAGAAAGCAGCACCACCTTTATTGTTGGACCATGGATAATTTATTTGTGTCTGTCCATGCTGCCTGCTAGCTCTGGGGATAGGGAGAGAAGGGTCACTTTGAGAGTTTGGCAGAATGAAGGTGCAGCCAGTTCCTAATAAAACACACTGTCCTCTGCTCCTCTGCCCCGTGAGCAGACTATGCTGTGTCCAAGCCTGACATCCTCTCCCGGATTGAGAGGAATGAAGAGCTCTGCATCCGAGACGGTCAGGAGTCCCGGCAGACAAGCGTCCGAGACGGTCAGGAGTCCTGGCAGACAAGCGTCCGAGACGGTCAGGAGTCCCTACAGACACCAAAAGAGATGGACCAGAAGGAAGGGGCTTTGGGAGAAGATAAAGTCCCTGCGGAAGTTGACACAGGTAAGTTACATGGGTGCCAGGAGGACTTGCTTCCCTGGGCCATTCCTGTCCCATCTCTCTCGGGAGAGAGAGGTCTAACTGCCTGTGGGAGAGGGCATGGCAGGTCACCGTGCTTAAGAGGAGCATCACCAGCGAAAAGCAGAAGCCTTGGGGTATGTTGGCAAGGTGCTGCTAGGGAAACTGGAAGGGGTTCAAGGGCCTGAACACAAGGCACTGTGGGAATACTACCTGTAGAGTTGGTGGGGAGGGTTTAGGAGGGATGAGGTTGCTCTGCAGAGGTGGCAGCACGCAGCACCTTGGTGACTTTCCTCCCAGCCATCCCTCTGCTTTTGGTCCTTGTGTGTGGCTTCACTCCAGGTCCTTCTAACACCTTGCATGCTTTCCATAGAACCATAGAATCACTTAGGTTGGAAAAGACCTTTAAGATCATCCAAGTCCAACTATAAACCTAACATGGCCAGATCCACCACTAAACCATGTCCCTAAGCGCCACGTCTACTCGTCTTTTAAATACCTCCAGGGATGGTCACTCACCCACTTCCCTGGGCACCCTGTTCCAGTGCTTGAGAACCCTTTCAGTGAAGAAATTTTTCCTAATAACCAATCTAAACCTCCCCTGGTGCAACATGTCATGGCTTCTCAAGCCGCTGCTTTCTCTGGCTCTTCGCCACACTCGCAACACATCTCCAGTCAGCATCACACCAAAGCAGAAAGATGTGAACTCTCCACACGTGTTAAAAATTGCTCTTCTCTGCAAACAGAACTCCCCATCCTCGTGATGAATGTCATGTCCCTGAGTGCACAAAAAGGGCAGCAGCACAGGGAAGATCAGCCTGAGACAGAGATGGAAGAGGACCCGGCTGAGTCCAACACTGGTGAGTAACCCTGTGCAGGGGAGACATGGGACCCTGCAGGCAGGGAAGCAGCTCCAAGCTCACTTGAACCAGAGAGGGGAGAAGGAAGTTTCAGGCTTCTCTTATCACCGAGCAAGGGAGGGGTCTGGTGCTGGGCGTTTCAGCCCTATCATCTCTGTGGAAAGAACAACAGTCCAGCTGGTGTTCCTTCTATCAGAAACTGGGGGTGAGCCGGTCGCAGTAGCATGCTTCCTCCAGCTGTGCTGCATTACGGTAGAGCTGGCCTTGAACTCAGGTGGCCTAATGCTTCCCATGGCATGGCCCTCTTTGTGCCACAAGCAGGGAGTGTAGGAAGGGGGGGCAGCCATCTGCAGATACCCTCTCTTCTGGTCCTGAAGCTTTGCCAAGCTAACGCACAGAGCTTTCCTCTTCCAGGGATCCAGAGCCCGTTTCTGGGACTGGTGGGCAGAGTTAAATGGCACTGGTTCTGGGTGGCTTATGCAAGCTAAATGGCCTGGCTGCAGGGGGAGTGTGGAGAGTTTGCCACACAACCCTCTGCACTGGAGCCGGTTTGCCTGCAACATTTGGCGTTTGCTGGCAGTCCCAAGCTTGACAGAAGTGAAGAGCCTGAAGTACTGCAGGCTGTTGCTTTTCAATGATCTTTTTTCCTGCTGCATCATTGGTGTCGCGGTTTTAGAGGTGGATCCCTTTGCTCCACCAGCCCCGATGGCACTGCAGCAGACCACAGCCTGGTTCTTCCTGGGAGCAAGAGCTCTGCACCCCAAAACCACGCTGGGTTGCTCAGGGTGTGTGGACAGGACGCTGTGGTGGCACCTGCGCCTTTCCAAACTGCGTTCTCAGATTTGTCGGTAGCTCCTTCATTGCTAAAAGCCTGCTCAGTGCTTTGGGACTTAACCACAACCTGGGTTTGTCCTGGGAGCATGGATGACCAATGCCCATGTTGCTCTGTTTCAGAGGAAGGCTCTTTAACAGAAAATGAAAGGGCATGTGAAGGGACTTCTCTTGAAAACATCAAAATTAAGGAAGAGGAGCCTGAAGCATTGCAAGAGGTTTCTGCACCCTCTCCGAGTCCAGAGATCCAGAAGTGCCCCAAAAGTGAGCCAGCCAAGGCCAAGAACAAGAAGAAGCCAAGCAGATGTGCGAGCAGCAGCCTCCTGATGGGCAACTGTCGGCGTGGCTATGTGCGTGAGTGGTCGCACCCCTGCACCGAGTGCGGGAAACGTTTCCGTCTGAAAATCAACCTCATCATCCACCAGCGGAGCCATGCCCAAGAGGGGCCCTACGAATGCACAATGTGCGAGATCAGCTTTGCGGACAAACGCCACTTGGACCTTCACCAGAGCATCCACATAAAAGACAGGGCCTTTGGGGCCAAGGTCTGGGGGAACGTCCACCCAGAGCTGAGGATCCGGCCGAGGAGAAAGTTCTGCGGGGCTTTGTGTGGAGGTGCCCACAGCCTGGGCAATGGGACATATGCTGGGGGTCCCTGGCTGGGCCAGGCCAAGGAGGAGCTAGACAGAGGGAGCCCTAAGTCTCGTAGGAAGTCTGTGCTGAAATGCAGTTTTTGCAAAAAGATTTTCTCTTGCACGTTTTCCCTTCGGCGGCACTTGCAGACCCACTCGCAGGAAAGGCCGTATTGCTGCACCACCTGCAAGAAATGCTTCACCCGTAGAACTCACCTCTTGCGCCACGAGAAAATACACGACCGCCAGAAAGCCCTGGCTGCACTCCAACAGCCCGTGACCGTCATGCCAGCACCCAAGCAGCCCCAGCCACAAGGAGCCCCAGAGACACCCACAGGCGGGAGCGTTCCTCACTCACCAGCCCAGGCATCCGAGATAAATGTTAGCCCTGTGGCCACCGCAGCCAAAGCAGTTCCAGCAAATGAGCTCCCGATCGGTCCTGCAGAACTCGGACCGCCAGACAAGAACTGCCACATCCTCGGCTGGGGTGGGAGAGCTGTCCAGCCTGTGGTTAGACTAGGAAACAGGGCAGCGCTTTCAGGGGTGACGGAGAAATGACAACAGGAGAAATCCGAACTGCTTGTGGCCCTGGAGAGAACCTGTGAGCATTGATGTTGCACATGGTGGGGCACTGGGGTTGTGAACCATCTGTCCACTGGATTTTAGGAGCTTTCCTGAATTGCAGAAGGAAACAAAAGCTTGGATACCACCATAGAGAGCAAATTACAGAATCCTCCAGTGACCCTAAATGCTTTACCATTCCTCAGACTCTCGTGTCTGCTGGCTATTGCATGAAATTTTCCCAAGCTGACCTTCCAGCAGCTGAGCTCACCTATTGATGCTGGAGCTGACCCCTCACATTTGGAAATAAAATTACATGGTGAAGAGGACAAAGGGAACACAATCAAGCTGGCAAGCCAGGCAGCCTTCCCAAGGAGCTCTTCACTTCACTGACAAAGTTTCTTCACCAACACGCCAGATGAAGAAAGCATGGCATCTCCGAGACCCCATCGTGTCCTGGCCATGCTTGTCTAATAACCCACCCTGGTGAGGAAATCTGCTAACCCCTCAATCAGATTGGGAACATCTGGGCGTTGCATTGGAAGATCCATAGAACAAATCAAACCACAATATTTTCTGCTTGCGAGGGTGCTGCGGATGTTTCTGAGGTCCCAGCAGCACTCCTTCCTTCAACGAAGCCAGCCCGTGAGAGCCAGAAACACCCACGAGAGTTAATTCCCTCAGGACCAGCCTGCACAGATGGAGAGTCACTTTAGAAATATTTCACGGGTAAGATTACTCCTGTGCTGCAGCAGCAGTCCATGCGAGGACCCATCCTTGGCGCTCAGGCGTGTTGGCTGCCACATGCTGACACTGGTTCTTGCACGGGAGCAGCCCCTCCACTCAGCCCCGCTGCAGAAGGAAGTTCCCACTCTCCAAACTGCAGGTCATCTCCTTTAGTCATGTGCAAAATCCCACCATAACTAATCCTATGGAAGACTAGTTCTGCTAGCTACCTCAAATGTCTTGTGGAGTGAGACCTGCCTGGAGGCAGAGGAGCAACTGGAGCCCAGTAAGCAATGAAAGTCAGGCCAGGTGTGGCTCCGGTGTCCCCAGGAATCACTCGAACCGCACGTGTCCACGGCCAGAGCCCTGTATGCATCACGTGCACTGCTGGGAACCACGAATCATGTACCAAGAGAAGAAATTGGTCCTGGTGGCATCACTGTGCAGACCAAATGGAGAAGCTGTTAAGACTCCTGAGTTTAGTTTTCTGGGTTTTTTTTTTTTTCATTGAGTTGTTTAATGTAATTATTTGACATCACAAAGTCTCTGTCCTTCTCTAGGCAGGGAGCATGGGGAAACTGTTTATCACAGTTTTCATTCCTGGCCACTTACAAGGTCTGGTGGGCTGCAGAGGTGCTGCTGTGGGCAGCGTGCTTTGGGCACCAAGAAAAGGCCCGTGCCGCATCCTGCTGTAATCCTTGGTGCCAAGCGGTGCCCAGCCACCTCTGTGCCCTGCAGGAGGGACAGCAGTGTCAGAGCTGCTCCTTGGGGACACACACGATGTCCCACTGCTTCTCTGGGCCAGTTTCTCACTCAATTCCTGTCCCCTGGGATTGTAGAGTGTGCCTGGACTGTAGTTTTAGCCATGAGGGGGTGACGGTGGCAGACAGGTTGGCCCCGTGTCCCCAAAGGGATGGCATTGCCTGCTGCTAAGCCCTGTAGGATACAGGGGTGGTTGACACCTTACGGTCACACAGTGATGGTGCGTCTGGTAGTGAGCTGTGCTCTGGCACAGCACAGTGGTGTGGGCTCTAGTGACCGAGCTGGTTATCCCTGCCCTGGTAGAGATCCCAGTAACCCCCAGTTGATCCTAGTGACACGGGATGAGTTAGCGGGCGTGATGGTATTGCTGGTGGGCAATACCTCCAAGGCCAGTGTGGAGGGGCCAACTGCCCCAGCCAGGGCATTTCTTCTGAAGCTGTTGTGACTGGGACCAGCATTTCCTATGAAATCCCAGATCCCTTTCTCAGGCTATGGAATCAATAAAGTATTTGTCTGTACTGCTGCCTGCTTGGTCGGGCTGAGCTGGCACCCTCACGCACTGCTTGTGACTGAATGATTGGCCTGGGCAGAGTGAGGCAAAGAGCAGCTCCAGCCTGAGGGGGCCCCATGGGGGGTCACTGCTGGCAGCTCTGTCACCCCCTTCTGTGCAGTGGCTGGCCAAGACCCTGGGGAACATCCCAAGGGTGAATGTGTGGGGAAGCATAGGACTGTCATCTACCATTGCACCTGGGAGGGCAGTGGTGGCTAGGGGAGCCCTAAGAACGGGGCTGTGCCTGGGGCAGCCTCCGTGAGAGCCTGGGCCCAGCCTCTGTGTTCCTTCCCATCACTCTGAGGAGCCCCCAAGCCACCTCTGTGGCTGCACAGGGCCATGCAGGGGGACGCTGTGGCCCTTCGCTGCCATCCTGGGCCTCACTGGACACCCCCCAGTATGTCCCAGTCCCTTGCGCAAGGTCCAGCACCCTGGTGTGTGCCCCAGGGCTGGGCAGAGGGGCAGGATTCTCCCTGGCCCTGGCAGCTACAGGACTCTGCCCAGGGCAACACAGGCTGCCCTGCCGGGTGCTCTGCCTGCACCTGACACAGCCGCCGAAGCCACTAGGGGTGCCCTCGGTGGGTAAGGCCACCATGAACTCAGCCCGTGGCAGCGGCCATGCTGTGTGAGGGTGGAGGTGCAGGTAGGGATGTCCCCGGGGTGTTGTCACCCACCACTGTCCCCAGCGTGTCCCCTGGAATTGTCACCCATGCACCCCAGGCCAGGGACTCCCCTGGCCAAAGCGAGGGGATGCAAGCGCTGCCTGCGCCCTGGCATGCCGCTGCTTGCGAGTGCCCAGGGCTGGCGCGGTTCCACTGGGGACTCGGGCTGCTGAGCCCCAGAGAGCCATGCTGGGTGCTCCCCCCATGGGGACGAATATGGCGGGTGCAGTGGGCTGAGCCTGGGGACACCCTGACCCCGGGGCCTGAGGCTGCCTCATGCCAACCCACCGTGGCGGTTGCCACACGGGGAACCGTGGCCAGGAAGGTCGAGCTGTCTGTAGGCAGGAGGATGAGTGGCCAAGGGGACCAGGGCAAGGCAAGCAACATAGTGGCCCTGAGTGCCACAGGCAGGGCTGCAGGCAGGAGGGAGGCATCGCTCTGTCCTGCCAACACACCCTCAGCACTGCTGGGGAGTCCCATGGGGCCCAGATCCCTTGGAGTGGGGCTGTGATTGGCAGCTCCACATTCCCGTGGGCTTGTACATTCCTATGGGGCAGCTCCGCATTCCTCCCCTCATGGCCCAGTCCTCCTCCCCAGGACTGGCAGGCAGCCCAGGGCCGTCACACTCAGGCTCCTGCTTTGTGTTAATTGCAAGAACTCATCCCCAGGGTGCCTGATGCCAGCCGGGCTGCAGAGGGCTGGGGCAAGTTGCTGGGCTCTTCCCCCCAGCCCCTGCCCAGAGCAAAGGGCCTCGTGCCATTGCAGGTGATGGGAAGCAGCGGGTGATGGCGGGGACACAGGGCAGTTGCCCGTGGTGTGCCGAGCACGAGCTGAACGCCTGACTGCACCCACAGGAGAAGTGTACATTATATCTCACAGGGCCGCATACCCACAGCTCCCTTTGCCGGGTGGAGGCTACACGGTGCTAGCCGCCTGAGACTGCCTCTTGCCGACACCCCAGAGTGCAATAGGAGACCACATCAGCGCAGTCTTTTATCCGAGTCTCTTCCTGGCTCATCCAATGACCCTGACTGCTGCCCAGCCACAACAGCCCCTACCCGGGCCACCGAATGCCCCCACGCCATCGCCATGCTGGTAGTCTTTAAATAACCCTGAGTTCGACCGCGCCGCGGTACCCAACACAGCTGCTCCTCAGCCAAATTCCCCTTCCACAGGACAGCGGCACAATCCAGGTCGGCTCTGGCTGCCGAACCTCCTCCGCTGCCTCTTGGGCTAGTCTCTTCAGACGCTGCACGTTTCCCTACCCGCACACACATCAGCCTGCCTCCGTCCTCCTCCTCCTGGAGACCCAGGCAGTGCAGAGCCCCACGGCAGTGCAGAGTGCGCCGCGGTGGTGCCACGAGCCCCACAGCCCTGCGGACAGCCCCGCGGTGGTGCGACACCAGCTGCCTGGTGTGTCCCGTCGTTGCAGGCTGCTGCACTTCTGTGGAACAGCCTGGAGAAACTGCCCCTTCCCTTCTCCAGCTTTCACGCTACCGATTATCCTGGGTCAAAGCCTTGCAGGGGCTGGTCTCCAGCTCCCGGTCATGGTTTGGCAAGCTGACAGCAGGAGAGCTGGCAATGGCGTGGACCTTCTGGTGGTGATTCAGAGACTGCCGGTGCCGGAAACTCTTGCTGCAGCCGTTGCACTGGAAGGGCCGCTGCTGGGTGTGCCGGCGCTGGTGCTCTTCCAGCGATGCTTTCTGGGGGAAGCTCTCCGTGCATTCGATGCAGCGGTAGAGCCGCTCCCCGGCAGCGCTGGCCCGCGCGGGCCGGCCTGTCCACCCACCCCGCAGCTGCACCCCGTGGATGCGCTGGTGCTTCTGGAGGTGGTGCTTCTGGATGAAGCCCTTGCCGCAGGCAGAGCAGCGATAGGGACGCTCCCCGGTGTGGATGCGGTAGTGCTTGTTGAGGTTGGACTTCTCATTGAAGCTCTTCCCGCAGGCAGGGCACTGGAAGGGACGCTCGCCCGTGTGCAGGCGCTGGTGCCGCAGCAGCGCGGCGTGGTGGGCCAGGCTTTTCCCACAGGCTGTGCAGATGAAGGACCCATTGTTCTTCCTCGCCTGGTTCTGCTGCCGTGCCAAGAGGTTGCGCTTCAGCCGGACGCTCTTCCAGCCCAGCGGGAGCGCGCGGGACTCTTCCCCCACGGCACAGGGACGATGCTCCTCCAAGCTGGGCTGTGATGAGGCCACCTCTGCGGTAGTGTCTTCTCCCAGCGGCATTCCCTGGGGCAGGGTGAACGGATGGTCAGTCCCCACACCGAGCACATGCTCTGTTGGGAAGGGCAAGCCCGGGGCAGGATGAGCTTCCACCGGCACCACCACGGGCTTAAATTCAGACTGGGCGGTCCCGTGTTTGCAAAACTCCCCTAAGCCCTCTGCTGCTGCCTTCTGCTCGTCCAAGCCAGCGTGGCTCTCCCAGGGCACTGGCTGCTCCTGGCTCAGGGGAACCTCCTCTTCCAGTCTCACTGAGGGTGCCTGTGGCAAAGCCAGGATTTCAGATCCTTCCTCCTGGGGCTGCTGCTCTTCTGTCTTGATCACAATCTTCTCACCTGCTGAGAGACAGCAATTCATTCCCGGCAAGGGAAGCTCTCCCATGCCCGCAGCCCCAGTGCAGGCATGGGAGCCGAGCTTCCCCTGCAGCACATTGGTGAGACGAATCAGCAAATGTGCCGTTAGAAAGAGAGCAGGAAGGTTTTACTGAGAATGAAAAGGGAGAAGGACACAGGAGGTGGAGGGGGCATTGGCATCTGTTGGGGGTTACCCAGATATCTTGTTGGACCTCAGGGACATTTGATGGACTGACAGTGCAATACTCATAAAGAAACCAAAACAGAGGAAACATGAACGCAAAGTTGAGGTGCAGAGTCCTCTGTCCTGGAAGGAACTTTGTCAGGAATGGCAGAGTTTAGATGGGTGAATCTGGGGAAAAGGATCAAAGCAAAACCTTCCAGGAGCAGGAGGGAGTGTCTGTTTGCAGGTGTACAGCTGCACAGCCACCCTCGCACTAAGCCTTGCCCCAGGTCTCCCTATTTTCCACTCTTTATGGCAAGGGGGCTCTTCTGGGCTTAAAGATTTGGTCTTAAAAGTTTTAAGGAGCCCCCAATCACATGGCTTAAATTCCCCGACAGCTTCTGACCACCTACAAGACTGGAAACGCTCCCTGCAGGGACGTGATCTGCTCGGCTGGCCCTGTCTCTAGCAGGAGCAGCAGTGGCACTGCTGTGGGCAGGCTCCAACCCGCCTTGCTTTGTGGGCAGGCAGCAGCGGCATGCAGGCAGCAGCAGAGCAGCACAGCAGGCATAGACCCTGCCCAGCCCAGGCATGTCGCTAGTGCTCATTCTCAGCCTTCGCTGCCAAGCAGCTGCTGTGACTCACCGGCGCCAAGGTGCCCCAACACAGCTCCCTTCTCTGGCAGTCCATGGGTCCTCGTACCCAAATCCTCCCCATCATTGGCCAGTGGCAGCAGAGCAGGTTTGGAGCTGGCATCTCCAGGCCCTGGGAAGGAAGAAGGGGCAGTACGAACTGCTGATGCTGGGGACCAGCACCAGCTCCCCTCGATAAAGGGCTGCTCTTGCACAGCGGGAGCTGTGGGGCACCCAGAGGGGTCCTGGGCTCCCAAAGCAGTAGCTCAGGTTTCCCAGGACTGTCTGAGCAAGCAGGCTGGTGTCAGCCAAAGCAGGCAAATGACTTCAGTTGCCCCAAGAAGAAGTGACAGCTGGGCACTCAGCCTTTAAAATTTCAGCCAAAAATAATTAGTGCTAAAATTTAGGACTGTCTGCAGCAAATCCCTACAGGGTGGTATACATACAGCCCGTGTCCTGGCAAAAAATGGTGCAGGAACGCAGGTTGCAGACACAGTGTGGGCACATCACTGTCCTGACCGCACAGGGAGGACTCCTCTGCTCCCGCAGACACTGTGCTGAGTCCTGGGATGCCAGTGGATGTCTGCTCCTCCTGCAGTGCTCCTGCTCACGGGGGCAGAGCCTCACAGGGCAAGTCAGGGCTGACAGAGGGCCAAATCCTGGCAGTGTCTGAGTTCCCCCACTGACAGCACTGCTGTGTTGGCAAGACGAGGTGTTCTTTGGATACACAGGGTAAGCATGAAGCACTGTTGTCACCCACCAAGGGGCACCAAACCTTAAACATGTAAAGGCATCACCTCTCACTACCTGTTCTCCTCCACACACCCAAACAACACAGCAGCCTACAAGTAGTTGTAAGCTGGATTCAGCCCAGGGGATGATAATGTGTCTGACATGAGTAGAGACTGATCCTCACCCAGAGAGACCACAGCCTCGTAATTCCCCTTCATCATGATCCTGCAGAGCTCCTTCTGCCGGCTGTCCAAGCTCCCCCACTCCTGCTCTGGCAAACTGGCCGCGTCATCCTCGCACACCGCTGGCACCTGAAACCACAGGAGGCACCGCCTTGGCGCTTCCCTACCTTGTCCAACCCCCCCCCAGTCCCCACCACTCCCCCCAGAAAGCAGAATGTGGGGTAACGCAGTGTGGGTCCAGAGCTTCTATGGAAAGAAGCCATGTCGCAGCCTGAACCCAGGGAACAATTTCAAGATGGCTCAGCGAGGCTCAATTGTTTCCCCCCACACACAACCAGGACAGATTCTCAAGCACCTCTCGTTCCCTTGATCCACACCAGCAGCCTGAAGCAGCCAGGTGAGCAGTAACCCCCTCATGCAGGAGCAGGATGGGTGGGAAGTTACCGTCCCACCGGTGAGGTGACCAGTGGGACCCAACAAGGCTGAAAATGCTCAGGGGGCTTGTGCTCTGCTCCCCCTCTTCACTGGGGACAGGAAGGAGTGGGCAGTCTCCGACTGCTGCCTTGGTGTGCTGGCTCCCAAGGTAGAGCACTGGAGGGGGCACATCCATGCTGCTCTGCGCAGCTCCCCACAAGAGCCAATGCCACACCTCACCAGTCGCGCTGTCGCCTGAGGCGCGTCTCCACTACCTTGGGCATGTCACCATTACCCAGGGCTCATCTGCATCACCTTGGACACATCCCTGTTAGCTGGGGCTTGTCCCTCTTTGTCACCATGGGCACATCCCTGTTAGCTGGGGCTCGTCCCCATCACCTTGGGCACGTCCCCGTTGTGTGGGCCCGTTACCTTGGGCTCGTCCCCACCGGGGCCCGGGCCGGGCCTGGGTGCCCAGCGGCTGCGGTGCTGGAGCTGGCGCTCGACGTGCTCCAGCCGCCGCGTGTTCTCCTGCACCAGGGCGGCCAGGGCGGCCCACCTGCGCTCCAGCCGACTGCCGAAATCCAGCACCGCTTTCTCCAGCCCCGTCACCTTCTTCTCGGCCGTCTCCGCTCTCCCCTCCAGGCTCAGCAACCTCAGGGCCTGCGACTCCACCTTCCTCTCCACCGCCTGCACCGCCGCCACCACCGTCCACAGCGAGATCTCGGGCACCGCCGCTGCCTTGTCCCCCTCGGGGCCGGGCCCGTGGCCGGGGAGGGGGCCGTGGCCGTGGGGCTGCGGCGGGAGCGGCTGCCAGGCCTCGGGCCCCCACTCGGGCTCCTGTCGCGGGGGAGGAGAGGAGCGATGAGGGGCCGCCCCGCTCGCTGGGGCCGGTGAGCCCGCCGCACCGTTTCCCCTCCCGCCCCTCACAGCGCCTCAGGGCCCGCCCGCCCGGGCCCACCGACCCCAGCGCCGGGGGCTAACACCGAGGCTCGCCGGCAGCGGAGCGGGGCGGGGTGTGTGCGGGGGGGGGATCGGCCCCCCCCCCCCCGGGGCCCCGGGGGGGGGGGGGGGGGG